CCCATAACCAAAATATGTTAACATTCATCATTCTCCCTTAATTAGGGCAGTCAGGAAAGGCTGCTCAGGTTCATAGGAAAGGGACGTAACTCCACATCTTGATGGCGGTAGTGACAAGGTTCTCAAAGAGTAGATGAGAACTGAAATAATTGCTGGGGTCATTTTTGGAATACACAATTTGCTAAAAGTTTCTCTTTTTTTTGAGACAGAGTCTCTCACTTTGTAGCCCTGAGTAGAGTCCCATGGCATCACAGCTCACAGCAATGTCAAACTCTTGGGTTTAAGCAATTCTCTTGCCTCAGCCTCTGGAGTAACTGGGACTATAGGCACCCGCCACAATGCCTGGCTAGTTTTTCTATTTTTTAGTAGACACAGGCCGGTTTCCTCTTGTTCAGGCTGGTCTCAAACTCCTGAGCTCAAGCAATTCACCTACCTCAGCCTCTCAAGAGTACTAGGATTACAGGCATGAGCTACTTTGTCCATCTCAAAAGTTTCTTTTCTAAAATGGGAGAAGGGTGATTATGAAAAGGCAGAAGGTAAAAGAATTGGCATGATCCCTTGATCAAAGAAATCTTCTTAGGTAGATCAATTTTAACAAAGAGTTATATAGGAATTGAGAATCTAAATGTTACGTATGCCTGCCTGTCTCCTGGAAAGCTGAATACTTCCCAGGAGAATGACTCTCTTATTTGAAGACACTACTATTGACTGTACTTTATCTATACAATCTCTACTTTTACACTACATCTGATATACTTTATACTATATATATATGTGTATATATATACACACACACTCTATATAAAGATATATTATACCTTTAATTATCTGAGTTTTTAAGATGCATATTTAACTATACATTTTTCTAAAAAGTTATTCAGGATTTCTTTGGAGGTAGAAAAGTATATTCTGCAACACTAAAAAATAATCACTTTCTATTTTAAAGAGTCAATTCCTTTCATTCAGCTACACAAAAACAGAATAGAAATTAAATTATTTCTGCCACAAGAATTTTGATAACTGAATGTATTACTAATAGTTTATGCACTTTTTAGAGGACAAAAAATGTTTTCTCTTAGTTAGAAAAGGTTAGACCTCTGGAAGTAGATGTTGGTAAACATAGCAAGAAAGTTTTACTTTTGCTTCCTATATACTTATAATGAAATATAGTGCACATAAACCATTAAAAGAGTTAAAACTAGAATGTCCTCCAAATATGATATGAATATATAGGCACAAAATCCTCATTCCCTTCTTCATTTCTGCCAATAACCCAATGATCTCTGAGATGGCTTAATAATTACTTCCAGTGCTATTTCCTAAAGTTATTACCTATAAAGTTCAATACAAGGTATTTACAAAGTACTCTACTTGCTCTAATTTTCATCATACATCATGACCTCAACACATGTGGAAAGACAAGATGTTAGAGAATAAGGGATTTTCTGTTAACATACTAGACAAAAATTACTGAGTTTTTTTTTTTCATATATAGGGGAGTAGGCAGAGCAATTAAATAGTTATAATCAAAATTTTCATATTCACTCATCAAATATTTATTAAGTACCTACTATTTTGCAGACACTATTCTAAAAACTGTAAGGTATAGGGGTAAATGAGACAGAAAGTAATAGCTACCATTTATTGAGTGCTTACTATATGCCAGGCCCTGGTCTGTAAGTTTCACACATATAAACCCACTTAATCTTCAAACACAATACCTCTATGACACAGGTACTATTTCCTCATTTTACATATGAGAAAATTGAGGCATAGAGAAGTGAACTTGTCCAGGTGGTAATTGGTAGAAACATAATTTCCAACATCCTGGCTCTAAGGGAACTTTCATTAATCTTACTCCTTCCATTCTTATTTTCTTCTTTGCCTTTATGAGATCTAATGAACAAACAGAACTAGGTATAGCTGAAATAGATGGGATGACCATTTCATCTTATCTCTGAGAATGTTGAAACAAAATTTTAACTAGCTCTGATCTTTGTGATCTCAAAGTATCTAGAGTTTGCACTGCTTCAGACTCAATTTTGTTTAAAAAGTTGTGGGGGAAAATTTTTTTCATTGTATTTTTCTCCATCACTACAGGTATATATACACATATCACCCCTTTCTTTGGAAAATCATTTCTCTACTTCAGGTAAGCCTAGTGAGGCGAAAGATCACAGAATTCTGTCCCATTACAGGAGTGAATCCATAATTCAAGCTAATTAGATCTTGCTCTCTTGGTTACAGTTAACTGATTAAATTAATCATATGATTATGACCTATCTTCTCTGGGATTGACAGAGTTGAGTTGCCCTTTCATAATGAAAGTGACTTCAAACTGCTGGCTGCCATCTTCTTTAGCCTCAAGAAAAAATGACTCCACGATGCTGAGAGATAAAGAGTAGAGAAATTCAGACAGAACTCAACTATTCATGGTCTATCCCTGCCTTTTCCAGATAAATGAGCATAAACTTATGCGTAAGAGGGTTTGTGGGACTTCAAGTTTTAATATGTTTTTACAGAAGCATTAGATAAAAATGCATGCAGACAATGGTTATAATGAATATGAATTATATACTTTTCCATTATTGTCATTTTCTTTCTCTATGAACAAATACAGAGCTTGGTTTATCTATTTCATTTTCAAAACTAGTTTGCAAAACATTTACCTATAAATTCTAAGGAAATAAAAACATTATTTTAAGTTCTACTTATTTATCATACCACAAACCACAATATAGCTAGAAAGACAAAATGTTTTATTTTAAAACATTGGAAAAAACATCGAAAGACAAATGTCCATTACATAACCAGGAATGTTAAGTATATGGAAACTGTGAATCTTCTAAAATGTGGTAGGCACTTCCAGAGAGCTAAATACTGCAAAAACTACCTTCTTTTCTAATCAACAATACTTGATATGATAAAAAAATACCAAAAGACCCTAATTATTCAATCAAAGTCATCATCTTTGGGTTCAACTTATTAACACAAGTTTTGTCCAAGATGTTCCTGACACATGAAGCTTCCAGTTGAATTTCAGAAATGTTAAGAAAAGTATCTTCCTTTTTTGCCTGTGAATGTTTGAGTACTGCTGTACTGTTGGCTTATATCCACTACAGATACTGGTTCTAGGCCAGCCCAAGGGTCTTCAAGCATTGAAGGCTTGAAATAACTTTCCAACTCATTAGACATTCTTTTTTCTCTACCACGCCCTGATCCAAATGGTGTAGATGTCCTTGGAGAACCCTTTAGGAAAAAAACCATCAGTTAAAAAAACATTTAGTAGAGATAATTGGTAATTTTTCCTTTAACTCAAAAGCCAGTGAGGATCACATTGCTGGTTAAAAGTTGTGACTTGAACCCAGTATGTTCAATTGCAAAGTCTATGCTTCCTTTACTGTTTTTGTTTTTAGAAAAGTCTTACGCTATTCCGGTATACTTATTTATGACCACTGGCACCACAAATATTTTGAGATGTCTAATGTGGTAACTTCAGAATTACTAAATACAAGTGATAAGAAAAATTTGTATCATTTTCCCTCAAAATTTCCACTTTTTTTCAGGAGGAAAATTGTAAAGTTTCTAGAATCTATCTCAAGAACATTTTCCTTACTCCTTAACTCCAGGCTCAAAGGCAGTGGTGTTACTTGAGAATACAGAAAGTCGAAAAACCACTGAGCAGATGCAAGTTGCAAACCACAGAAATCCTAGACACACCAGAAATAAGAGGAATGGGAAATTTCCACTACCACGATTTTCCTTTGAGAGAACTTGGATCAGAAACTAGTGTAAATCGAAAACAACAGCAAACGGCAAGATTAAAAAAAAAAAAAGAAAAAAATGATAGGCGTATTAAGATGGCACCAGCCCTTAACCTAGTAAGTGCTCCTCTGGGGACTCACTTTTCCTCCTCAGAGCCCAGGGGCTCAGAATAATTTACTGAGACAAACTGGCAAGGCCCTTGGCAAAGAGGAGGAAATGGAGAATTAGAAAAAGCTGTAAACGTCACTGTATTGGTTAAAAGCTCTAGGACAGAACGTACGGCTCCGCCACTTTTTTAGGCTAATCTTCAGAAAGGCACTTAACTTCTCTAAGCCTCAGTTTTACTCGTCTGCAAAATAGGGATAATAATAGTATCTCACCTCACAGAGGATTAAACAAAATAATCCACGTAAAGGGAATATTAGTACCATGCCTGCCATATAGTAAGCTCGGCAAGCGCGGGCTATATTACCTGGGGGTGGGTCTGCTGTTGCCCTGGGGAGTAGCCGAAATGCTGCTGGGACCCCGCGGGGGACTTGGAGTAGGAGCCAGGGTAGCCGCCAGGGGACGGAGACCCGAACCGGCCCCCCGGGAAGCTGCCGCTGTGTCTCGGAGAGTGGCTGCTCCCGTAGGGCCTAGACCGGGGCCCGTACGGCGGCGTGTGGTGCGGACTCCCGTACCCGTCCCGAGGGGAGGGCGGCCGTGGTCCGCCTCCGCCTGGGGTACCCCGGAAGCCGTTCCCGCTACCCCAACCTCCTACACCCGGGCCGGGGCAAGGAGGAGTCGGGGGCCGAAAATTCTGTCGTTGCATATCAGGAGCCGGAGCCGAAGTCAAAGAACTCAACGCCGCGTTCTCCCACCGGAACTGCACCGACCGACCCTTCCCAGAGAACTAGTCGTCCTTTACCAAAACAGTCCTCCTGCGCCAGGGCCACACCGCACATTGGTTCCGGCACCACAAATGTTCCGCCAGGAGAGGCGGCTTAAATGGGTTATTGAATTAGAGAGATTGAGTGGATTTAAGTGAAAGAAAGAGGAAGAAAAAGATAAAGAACGGTCGAGAACCAACCCTAGAAATGATCTTTCCAGTTTGTCGGCCCTTGGTCGGACATAAAGACGAAACATCGGCTCCACGGATGACGCGACCTTGGGAGCGCCCAGCCTAGCCGCGTCTCGCCCGGCGGGGGCGGGCTCTGAGGGGTCCGCGGGCGCCCCCAGTGGCTGCGGGTGGCGCCGCGGGGCGTCCGCCTCACACCCAGTCGAAGGTTCGCGGACAGGAGTGCGATGATGGCGAGGGCTCTGCGGAGAACCTGCTTCCTCTCCGGCCAGGGTGGCGGGAGGGGGCTGTGGACAAGCCACCCGCGGTCAGGTACCCTCCGAGATTCGGTCCGCGCGGCGAAAGGGACCCCACTCCAGATTTCCTCCCAGGGGCGCCCTCAGGAGAGCGCCCGCCCGCACTTTCTCCACGTCCCTGCCCCCGCAGCTCGCCCGTTAGCCTCTCCGCCCCCGCGCGCCGTCGCCTCGTGGCCCGGCCACCCCGCGGCCGGCCTCGCCCGGGTCTTTGGTGGCCCGGGGGTCACCCTGCCGGGCCCGGGGGCGACAGTCTCCGCTGCGGGTCCAGTCCCTTCTGAGTCGCACTCGGCTCGTGCCTTCTCTTCTTTACCCCTACCTTCTCGTCTTCAAAGTTTAAATAACTTTAAAAGTGTACGACAGCCGCCTTTAGAAAGGACTTCAGCCTGCTGCTTTACTAATTCGGGGAGAAGGCTGTGCTGACAAATGCCGGACTTTAACCCTTCCTTGTAGTTCTCGTTAAATGGAAGCAGATTAGGGTGGAAGTAGCAGAGATAGGAAAGCAGGTTAGGGAGGAGGAAGCAGAGATTGGATTTCCAAAAGAGCAAAATGCAGCCAAAACTCTTAAAATCTTGATTTTTTTTTTTTTTTTTTTTGAGATAGAGCCTTGCTCTGTTGCCCCGGCTACAGTGCCATTGTATTATCATAGCTCACACCAACCCCAAACTTCTGGCCTCAAGAGATCCTCTTGCTTCCGCCTCCCAAGTACCTGGGGCTGCGAGTGTCTGCCACAACGCCCGGCTAATTTGTTTCTGTTTTTAGTAGAAATCCACTCAAACTACCTAATTCACTTTTCTCAGGTTGGGTTGGAACTCCTGAGCTCAAAGAATTCACTGCCATGGCCTTGACCTCCCAGCCTTCACCCAACCCCCCCCAACCAGCCTCCACCCACCCACCCCCTCCCAGCCTCCACCCAATCCCTTCCCCCGCCCAACCAGGCCTTTTTTTTTTTTTTTTTTTTTGGAAACAGTCTCGCTCTGTCACCCTGGATAGAGTGCTGTGGAAGCATAGCTCACAGCAACCTTAAATCCCCAGTGTAAGTCATCCTTCTGCCTTAGCCTCCCCATTAGCTGGGACTACATGCTGTCACAGGCCCAGTTTTCTTATTTTTCTTATTTTAGTAGAGACTCAGTCCCTTCTACTCAGGCCGGTCTCTTAACTCCTGAGCTCAAACAATCCTCCCATTTGGCCTCCCAGAGTTCTAGGATTACAGGCATGAGCTACTGCAGTAGGCCAAAATCTTGATTGTTTCACAAATGTATAAAGAAAAGTATGATATGATAGGCTGGGCGCAGTGGTTAACTCCCATAATCCTAGCACTCTGGGAGGCCCAGGCTGGTGGTTTGCCTGAGTTTATGGGTTGGAGACCAACCTGAGCCACACCTCATCTCTAAAAATACCAGACTTTGTGGTGGGTGCCTGTAGTCTCAGGTACTTGGGAGGCTGAGGCAAGAGGATTGCTTGAGCCCAAGAGTTTTGAGGTTGCTGTGGGCTATGATCTCACAATACTCTACCGTTGATACTCTGTTTCCAAAAAAAAAGTATGATAGCTCAAGTATGACATTGCATATTAAAACATGCCTTTGTATAGATACCTGTCTCAGAATTTTATTTAGAGGATGAAGTTTAGGTTTACTACAGTTTTATAGAATTCTCTTTTTCTACCTTAAAATTTAGGAATGGTGATCCATGATGAATCTTGAAGTCAACTTGTAGGCTACAAAATCCTAAAAAACTGTAGGACTCATTAAATCATAGCCTACTTGGTAGCCTGTATGTGTGCTTTTCATTCAACTTATGACTGCTGCTCCTCACTCGGTTTCTTTGACATATTCTGTGACATGCTAAGCTGAAGAGTGTGGTGGCTTTCTTTTCAGTGTTTATCCTCTTTGATGAATAGAGACAAAAACAAAATAGGTTTTTGTGTTTATTCTTGGGAAATTTGATCACTATGTTTCTTTACTCCTGTAGATGCCAAGTTGTAGAGTTAATCAATACTATCAAGGCTAGGCTGGACACACTGGCTCATGCCTATAATCTCAGCACTTGGGAGGCTGAGGTGGGTGGATTGGCTGAGCTCACAGGTTCAAGACCAGCCTGAGCCAGAGCAAGACCCCCATCTCTTAAAAAAAAAAAATAGCCGTGCATTGTAGTGGGTGCCTGTAGCTGCAGCTACTTGGGAGGCTGAGGCAAGAGGATCACTTGAAGAGCTTGAAGTTGCTGTGAGTTATGACACCAAGGGACTCTACCAAGGGTGACCAAAAAATACTATCAAGGCTTGGTGATACTGATACTAGAATTTCGCTCCTCAGTAGGTTCTTGGTCTCAGTGATTTGAAGAATGAATCTGTGGACCACAGATCAGTGGTAAGACAGGATTTATTTACAGAAAAGAATGCAGAAGCGCTAGAGCTCCTAGCAGAGAGAGAAGACCCATGTCAGGAGAGAAAAGCTCTCTGTCTGTCTGTCTGTCTCTCTGTCTAGGGTATATATAGTCGCATGGGCCCTTTGTAATTACATTTAGTGGGGCTTAGTAGTTACATATAGCGTTTCTGGGACATGTGTCTGGGTCTGTATCTGGGACAATGTGTCTGGGGTGTGTCTGTGTCTGGGACAATGTGTCTGGGGTGTGTAGTCCTGTCTGGGTCACAAATAAATGACTACAATCCCTTTCATTCCCGGGCCTAGGAAATGGGCCCCACCTGCCTACCCTCCAGCCTGCTGGTTCCGCTCCTTGCTGCTACCGCACCCACATTGCCAAGGCGGAGGCAGCCGGTCCACGCCCCCCAGCTAGATGAGCTGGTTAGGATGCCACTTGTCCTGTAACAATACCATTAGGGCCTCAGTGCCCCAATCTGTCCTCTTTGTTATATAGGATAGTTTACGCCTGGCCAAAAATTCACCTTTCTGGACATTGTCTCTGGTGCTTAGCTTAATGCCTGGTAGTTGGTCACTCGAATATGTATTGAATGTAAGATTGAGTCATATATATCACATAGCTCAGTGATTTTCACTTATAGATCAAGCAGTGGACTTTGGGTAGTTGAGAAAAGGGTGAGGTGATGGAGCAGTGATCCCAGCTGCCCAGGAGGTGAAGGCAGGAAGATCACTTGAGCCCCACAGTTGAAGGTGACAGTGGGTTATGATTACTTTTATTACAATACAACCTGGGGAACAAAGCAAGACCCTGTTTAAAAAAAAGGGAAAACCAATTGTGAATGAATAATTATATAATCTGGAGTTGGTTGGAAAAACATTATACTTGAGCAGAACAGAATTAAAGTAGCAGGCTCCTACTATCTCTTCTATCTTAAGAAGGACAACTTTACAAGTTTGGCCTTTGGAGACCAGGCGTGGTGGCTCATACCTGTAATCCTAGCATCCTGGGAGGCTGAGGTGGGTGGATTGCCTGAGCTTGCGGGTTCGAGAGCAACCTGAGCCAGAGTGAGACCCCTGTCTCTAAAAATAACTGGGCATTGTCGTGGGCTCCTGTAGTTCCAGCTGAGAAAAGATAACCACTTAAACCCAAGAACTTGAGGTTGCTGTGAGCTACTGATACCACAGCACTCTACTGAGGGTAACAAAGTGAGACTTTGTCTCAAAAACAGAAAACAAAAAAAACATGTTTGCCTTTTGGTTGCGGACTAGGAACTTGACTTTTCTTCTGGGAGTCTGGAATTTTGGTACATGATAAAGAGAGAATGCATGGGCTTGGCGCCTGTGGCTCAACCGGCTAGGGCGCCAGCCACGTACACCTAAGGTGGCGGGTTCGAATCCCCAGCCCGGACCTGCCAAACAACAATGACGGCTGCAACCAAAAAAAAAAAAAAAAAAATGGCCGGGCGTTGTGGTGGGTGCCTGTGGTCCCAGCTACTTGGGAGGCGGAGGCAGGAGACTCGCTTGAGCCCAGGAGTTGGAGGTTGCTGTGAGCTGTAATGCCACGGCACTCTACCCAGGGGGACAGCTTGAGGTTCTGTCTCAAAAAAAAAAAAAAAAAGAGAGAATGCATGTAGAAATATAGGCCAAGAGCAAGAATAATTTATAAGTGAAAATATATAAAAAGGTAAATATAAAACATGTTCAATTTAAAAAGCCATTAATAAATGCAATTAAAATGACAGTGACATGGAAATTTTTAACTGTTGAATTTGCAGCAAACAAACAAATAGACAGAAATCCTTGCAAAACCAAGAGATTATGTTCAGGGTTCTAGAAGATGATGAGGAACACTGTTTTTATACATACTGGAACTGTTATACACAATCTGTTTAGTGGATAATTTAGTAATATGTGCTCACATGAGAGAAAAATTCAATTAAATTTAAGAAGAGGGAGGCATCTGGCAAGTTGCCACCTAAGGGGAATAATGCACAGGGACATGGCACACTTCCTGGGTAAAGGACACACTGCAAGTGGGACCCTCTTACAGATGTGAACAATGTAACCTAAGATTATGTACCCTCATATTAACTTGACAGAAAAATGTTTTAAAGAGTTTGTGATGTCTTGGCCAACCTTAAGATTTGCCTGTGTCCTTGGAAACGAGCTTCTCTCATTTTCTATCTCTCAAAACTCTTAAAGAATAATTTTTGTCTTCATTACTTGAGAAGTCTCTGAAAGGATTCCATGGATCTTTGCACTTAAAACATCCTAAATTCCTTTCCAGACATCTCTCCCGCTCTTCAGAGTTATTCATAAGAAGTTGTTAAAAACACATCACTTCAGAAAACGTATTAGCTTTCATCCACGAGGCCTGACAATTAAGTTTGCAGACTCATCCTGGAAAAAGTGCTACATACCTCATTGCTGAGTATCACTAAGGTCACCTTTGAAGTACTTCTCTTGGGAAGCTATGCACTGATGCCAGCACCTGGTCCAGTGGGTCTTAACCTTCCTAATGCCGCAACCCTTTAATACAGTTCCTCATGTTGTGGTGATCCCCAACCATAAATTATTTTCATTGTTAAAGTAGCAACGATATGACAAATAAGTTTGCAAACTTGTCATTGTGCACCTATGC